TTGATTAGATTACGAAATGGTTCGTAAGACATATCAATACCAGATGTCCACAAAAAACTTATTGATAAATCGAACTAAGAAATGAAAATTAAATGATAGTTTGAAAAAACTGAGAAGACACGCTTCTACAGGTAACAGAACTAAATAGTAATAAAGAATTTGAATTACAAAAGAGTTTATGTTACAGTAGTAGATGGTCGAACAGTCAATCATAATTAATGACCTCAACCTAATATTATAATAAAAAATTATAATAAAATTTAAGGTATTAACAGAATAATTCAATTCAGAGTAAAAAGCATGGGGTGCATTTTACTACATTTTCATAAGTCTCCTCTCATAGATAGTTGCCAATAGAATGATTGTAGTATTTAATATATCAAGCAACCCACGCTGCCTAATGTTTTTCCATACAAAAATTTAAGCAATATTTTCCCTTCAAAAGTTGTTTGTAACAGCTTTAGCTATCTACAGAATAAAATTAGTTTGACTGATTTTAGGAACTTCAAAGTGCCTTCACCTTTTTAGGTGACAGACTTTTGCAATAGGTGCTTATGAAGAAAATATCGCCGTCTGCAATGTATCATGAGTCTCATTTCTGGCCCACCATTAATGCGCTGTCATATGGCAAAAATACAAAAAATTAAACAATACTTTTTTTCAAAGTTAAGCCACATTTTACAAAATGGAAATGTATAACAAAAATTAAAAAAAAAAGACCGATTCTTTGACTCTGGGTCCTAAGTTTTATATTGTGGGATCACTGTGTGTCGCCATTGTATCTCATTCTATCTCGAATAATTTTTTGGACGCCGGAATACAGTACTTGTTTGGCTATCTTCATATAGAATACCTTAAGTGATTATTACCTATTCAACTAGGAAATCCTTTTTCGCGGCATCTACTAGAGATTCTTTACTATATGGGAATTCAAACTTATTAGTCTCATCAGCAATTTTCGTACAACGTTCATCGTTCAAGTACACACAAAAGGTGGTTATGCATATATACAAGTTTTACATGTTGTGCAAAAATGTTTATCTTCCAGCTTAATTAATAAGGAAAGAGCTTCTAGGCGGAGAAGGAGAGGTAATAAATTCTGAATCTGCGCCATCTGCGCTACCACCCATTTAAATCTGGTTAACAGCTGGAACTATAAATAGAAACTTCCGTGAGTTATTGTGGATCTTCAAAGTTTCGGTTTACTTTTATAACGACTAATTGCGTTCTACTTCTTTGAGCGTATCAAGACGTTTATATGCTTTAACGTACAATGCTACCCATGGCACACTAATGATCGACTGTATAACCTTGCATCTTGTGAAGCCCAACTCAGGATTAATGGCAACATTCGCAATGAACAAGGTGACAATGCACTACCTTGAAAAAGTATCTGCCTCTGTTGTGCTGTGCGGAGTGTCCGAACAACTCGCCTATACAGGATCTAAAGGGTGCAAACGTTATGGTATTCATTATTGAAATGGGCAATAGGGGGAGTCAAAACAAGTCAAAGAGTTCATATGACCCATGGTCCAAAAGTCAATAGATTTTTGTCTAAATCGACCACAATCACCACAATCTTACTAATTTTTATAATCTAATCTAGAACGTTTTTAAATTGGGTAATTAACAAATACATGGCTTTAAGTTTTTCTAAGTTAAGCCAAAATTTGTATTCAGTAAGTAAGTTTCATTAAATTGAATACATAAAACTCACATGACAATACCGTGTCGTCATCACTCTTATCGAATCGGCAATCGATCGCAAACGGTAACAGTGGTTAGTTATCAGGCATCGGGCGTGCTGTTTTATTTTTGTTCACGTACGTCGTCGTCTTTTTTACAGTGCCAACGGGTACACCCAGACAGAAGGACATTTGTGCACGTGTACCAAAGACTTCGAGATACAGGAAGTGTTCAGCCCACTAATATTCGCATTCGGAAAGACAGGTTACTGTAGAGCAGGAGGAACAAATTTTAAATATCGTGAAAATCAATGCAGATATCATTGCGCCGCGTAGGACTATCGCATACCATAGTCCATAGAATCCTACGAGAAAATTTACTTTATCTCTACCATGTACAACGAGTGCAGGCCTTGTTACCAGAAGACTATCCTCGCAGACTAAGGTATTCTCTAGGTGTAGCAAGAAGAGAGAGAATTTCTAATCATTTAAGAGAAATATATTGGCTTACGATGCGGCAGAGATGGATGGTTCACTTATTGACACTGGTCCACACTACACTGATGACGAAAACCCCAATATATTTTAATAGCAAGCTTAGTTTGAGGTGTGAACAGCAATGCGTTAACCTACGATATATGGGTTACACCCTGGACATACCATATCATAAAACTGCCCAATTTAGGAAGTCATTTTCTTGTATCGCACAAAATTTATACAATAGGTTGCCATAAAGTGTAAAACCACTTTCCAAATTTAGTTTCGCAAAGAAGGTCAAGCAATTCGTTTTGGATAACATTGTTTCAATTTTTGAGTAAATTTTAAGTGTCTTTGTTGCATCAGGCTGTTAATATGTATCTTGTATTCATCCTTTTTTTGTATCAAGCTTTCTTTCAATGTACTTAGTGAGTATCTTGTTAGTGTGTGTTCGTGACATATACATTTTCTTTGTGCGGCGGATATTTTATCTTCATGTAAGGCTTCTAAGAACTACATAGGTCCGGTATTAAATCAGGACGAACTGTTCGATGAAGTTACACAAAACAAAACTGCTGACTGGAATTTAAGAGATATTTCTACTGAAAATCGATTTCCAAACAGAAAATGCATTGAAACATAATAAAATTTTATGTGAGTTTGTTTTTTGTCTGTCTGGGATCAGTTCGTCAATTGAGAGGATATTCTCAAATATTAATAAATGTTGGAGCTCTGAAAAATCGCAGTTGAAGATACTTAGTCTGGAAGCCACATGCAAGTCTACACAAACAGTAATGATACTTGCGTTGGAATGTTCCATTTTCTAAAGGAAATGCATAGTTCCCAAAAGTACGACTGGTACCAAACATGCTAGCACGTCAAAGGAAAATTAACTTTTAAATATTTACGTACATATTTTTTAAAAATATTTTGTTATATTGCTGCTGCATCTATATTATAATAAAACATGAATACCTTTATTTTGTTTGATTTAGACAAAAAATTGCTCTAAGTATCAGTGGTGATTTTCCATAAAAGTGTACTCTTTTTGTTTAAAAATTATGGTCACCCTAGTTATATTGAAGTACGTGTTTGTTGGCTAAAATACTGTAATTACCTTTCACCCTGTTGATGCTCTGGACAAATGTAAGTTGAAGCTTACCTGTAAGAAAAAATATATATTTAGAACTTTGGCTCCCCCGATTCAACAATAGATACAGTAATAGAACAAAAAAAGGAAAAGGTGGACTGCTTTGTGCCAAGGCAAACAATAAGGAACTGTTTAATCTAGCCGTACTTTATCCGCACTCTTCTCCTATTTTCTCTAGACTGGCGACCGCTCTGGCTAATTATCAGTCTCCAAAGGTCGCGAGACAGTCAGGAATGCGTTAAATGGCACATAATTAACCTCAGTGCAGCTGCCCCAGCGCATCACGTCAATAACTTTTTAAACTCAAACCATTTCTAGCTAATTATAGGCTCCTAAATTAGTAGGTGCTGGTCTCCCTTGACCAACAAAGTTGGTTTCCATGTTATATGAAAGTCTGTGTTACCTTCCTCGATCTGTTAGTCTATCTGTCTACCTACCTTTACTGTTCGTGTATCTGCCTGTCGTCAGACAACCTTAGTAGCAAAGTTTTATAATTATACTAACATGAAAAAATTATTCTCTCTTCCAAAAAAAAAACCATGGAATTATTGTTTTTGTAAAAAAAGGGATAAAATGAAAAAGAGGCTTCCTAGGAAATTATAGTATGTCTTTGGAAAATCAGTATAAGGATTGTCCTAACAAACTAAGTAAATTAATAGGCAAACAAAAGAATAATTACTACTCGTATAGATTGCAAATTGAGAAAAATAAAAATAACATGAAACAACTGTGTGATGTCATAATTGATCGGCCAAAGTGCTCTTTTCTGATGAGTCTCATTTTCACCTCAATGGGTACGTAAATAAGCAAAATTGCAGCTTCTGGGGGGCAGAAAATGCACACCAATATCATGAACAACCTCTCTATCCTAAAAGAGTGACTGTTTGGTGCGGATTATGGGCTGGTGGCATCGTTGGACCATTCTTCTTTGAAGATGCCGAAGAAACGGCCATTACCGTCAACGGGGAACGTTATCGCGACATATTAATAGACTTTTTGTAGCCAAAATTGGATCGCATTGGTGCCGAAGATCTTTGGTTTCATCAAGACGGAGCAACGGCTCACATATCTCGCCAAACAATCGCCTTATTGCGTACGAAATTTCAAGACCGCATAATTTCACGAAATTCAGATGTCCGTTGGCCCCCGAGATAGTACGATTTAACACCTCTTGACTATTTTCTTTGGGGATCTTTGAAAGGAAAAGTGTATACGTATGGTCCCCGGACAATCCAAGACCTAAAGCGCAATATTCGGACTGAAATTGCGGCCATAGACCCGATTATTCTGGGAAGAGTCATTGAAAATTTACATAGATGGCATAAACCAATCTTCATTTATCAATAAATTCGATTTCACCTCGTGAAAAGCGTGTTGATTTTTCAAATAGAAAAAAAGTAATAGATGACGCACCCTGTATAAAGCAAACTCATATTTACAATGTAATTTTAGTAACTGGAATCAGTGATGCCACCGGCCAGTAAAGGAATTATGGTACGATGTTGCCAGAATTATCAATTTTTCTTCAAAATTATGTTACAAATAGTGTTCCTTTAAGACAAAAAATACACATAATTAATATAGGTTCTTTAATGTAAAAATCTCATAAAAAATGGAACATTTGGGAAAATCAAACAAACTCTCGAAAAATACTACAAGATATACCTAACTCGAAAACATAAAAAACATTATTCAGGTTCAAAATGAATATCAACAGTTTCATTTTCATCTTGAGCGACATGTTTATAGGACGTTATTCTATTAATCATATTTTGAGTAACATTAAACTTAAAACATTCACGATTTACACTTTGAGATGCCAATAAAAGTAAATTTACTGTGTCACTGTACAAGCGATTTCGGACATCTGTTTTGATTAAGTTTACTTTTGAAAACATTCTTTCGCATGCGGCATTTGAATGAGGAATTACTAATAAATCTAATACAAAATTTCCCAATTCTTTAAATACGTAAACATCAGACATGTCGTGAATTTGGGAGATTTTGTACCAGTATTTATCGATTGATGTTTCATCCTTTATTTCATCACTGAAATTTGGTTCTGACTGCCAATACATCCGCCACTGATCATCAATTTTTTGTATTTGTTCAATATCTTGAGGATCTACAATTCTGGGTAGTAACTTAATTAATGGAAAAGGCGATGCTGGTTTTGGTTTAGAATACCCTTTTTCAAATACTGATATTTTTGACAAAATATTTTCATTAAAATCAAACCGTTTTTTCATTTCATTTGCAGAAGTTATTAAAAATTGACGGCGCCGCATGTAGAAATCTTCTTTTTCCTTTCGACTTAATTTATCAATGTTCTGAAGTACGCGAACACCAAGGTATATCTGTTTCAAGTCAATGAACTGACTAGCATTGCTGGGATCGATTTTACCTATTTCAGTTTTATGAATATAATTTGGTTGTAAATAGCTTAAACAAATTTCTTTATAAGTTTCACAAACTACATCATAAACATGTGCAATTATGACACGCTCACTTTGAAAGTATTCATTTAATTTTACAAATTTTGGTAAAATCCAATGAAGAAAAAAGAAAAAAAGTTTTGTTTCCATATCATTAAGTCTTTTGGCAACAACTTCTGAAGCTTGCAATCTATGTTCGGTCCATTCTTTAACAAAATATAATTGAAGGGGATTCCATTGCTCAATTATCCTTTCCACTACCATAAGTAATGAAAGCCACCTAGTTTGTGAAGGACGTAAAATTTTGTGAGGCTCCACATTACAAAATGTCTGAAATTCTGTAAATTGTGCTTGCCGTTTGGAGCTATTTTTAAAGTAACCAAAAATATTCCTGACTAAATCTTCACAATGACGGGGCAAAACTTTACAAGCCTCACTGGCACAAAGATGTAAAGAGTGGCAGATGCATTTTTGAACTATAATGCCAGGAAGATTTAGTTTTAACCTACTTACTACTGAGTTATTGGCACCAAACATAGTGTTACAACCATCAGAACCAAATCCTATAATATTTTGGAAAGGTATATTGTTAGACTCAAATAAATCCATAATTTTTTTATAAAGAACTTCTGCAGTCGCCCCTGTATTTGCCTCATCTGGATTTTGATTTGAAAAACATTGAACCAAATTTAAAAATTTTGTAGTTACCTCATTTGTTTTTTCACTAAAGTACCTAACACATACACATATATTTTTTACTACACCTATGTCTGTAGATTCATCTACTAAAATGCTAAACTTTTTTGCTTTTAGTTCATCGATTAGTTCTTCAAAATGAGATTTGGCTAAAACATGTTTTATAACACCTGTTGCTTTGGTTCTTCCCATCTGCAATTTTCGAGTCAGGAAATATGTCTTTTAATAAAGGAATCAGATGATCACACAGGTTGATGGGTAGATTATGCTCTGATATTAATGCAGCAATTTTTATTTCTGCCCTACTCACTTGACCACTAGCTTCGTTTTTATTAGAAAACATAGTAGAAATTTTTGGTTGATTTTTCACAATCACCTTTACATTTTTTAAATGCTTAGCTCCCTTACTGTGACTTTTCAATACAGTTAAATCTGCTTGAATTTCACTATCACAAGCAATACATTTTGCTCGAGTGGGTTTTTCTAAAAACAAAAATGCATATCATTAAAAGTATAAAATGGTTTTATGTTATTTTTTCTACCTTTAACAGCTTTCAACCATCCTTTGAAATGAGGATTGCTTTCCCATTCACATCTATATTTTTGTGGTCTATTTTCTCGTCTGTTTACGCTTTTAAACTTTAATCTTTTTGCCCCCCTTTCTGAATCCGAAGAATCGGAGTAATCATGATGATCCCCTTTGCTGGTACTGGCCATTTTATTTCACTATTTGATCACATCAACACACATTAATAAGGACTCATACGATCAACTACTCTTGCTCGTATTGAAAAAGGAACAATGAGGATTAGGGTATTCCCCTGCGTAGGCTCAAATTCACCGAGACTCGAGTTCCGTAATATTTACATAGATGGCGGTAGGCTTGATTTTTATTCTAATTCCATAATAACCATGCTATTAACTGAAAGAGGTCAGCACTAATAATTATTATCCTTTTGTTACGTTGCTTTGGTTCCATACAATTAGAACCAATAATTTTGAAAACATAGTTATAGGCTGGGAGATGGAAAAATAATATGTTACAATTATCGATTATGTTACATCTTTTTATTTACTGTATATTTCAGTAGAAAATATGGTACAATTTAATAATTATGTTACAAGTGGCAACACTGACTGGAATTGTCCCGAAAGACTTTAAAACGTCAATAGTTATCCCGATACATAAATCAGGGGATACACTTCTATTGGAAATTACGGGCCTATAAGTTTAATAACATATTATTATTATTAAACAACAAATTTGAGTTGAGTACAAGTACTATAAACTCAAACACATAATAGATAATAGTGTACAGACAATAGAAATGTAACAATTTAACAATCTTAGCACTTCTGAAGTAGACATATACATAATGGGATCAATATGTTAAGCACTGCGGTGTGTATCATAATTGTTTTTGAAACTGTTGACGGATGCCGAGTTCACTGCTTATCCATCTTATGATGGAAGACTATTCCATGCATCGAAAACACGGTTTGAGATAAAGCGCTAACGAGTAGAGATTCTAAAAACTTCCTTCTGCAATTTGAAGTTATGGCCTCTGAGATTGTTCGTTGCCAGATGAAACAGATGCGACATGTCCACACCAAACAAATTATGCAGTGCTCTGAAAGTGATGATGAGATCTCCTCGCATTCTTCTATCAGCAAAAGCAGGCAGGTTATATAACTCGAGGCGGTCTTCATAACGCGGCTTACGTGTGCCATAAGGCATACGTGTAGCACGACGCTGAACCGCCTCTAATAAGCTGCTATCGCGAACAAGGTTTGAATCCCATACCGGAGCAGCAAACTCCAGTAGGGGTCGTACGAAAGTTGTGTACAAGAAGGAGGAGGTACTAACGGTGCAACCGCTAAATGATGTTTCCATCATATATATCAACCGCTTTGCCTTAGAGTTTATGTTCTGAATGTGCTCCGACCAGGTGAGCCGGTCATTAACTGTCAGACCAAGATCTGTGTGAAGAAAAACAGTCTCTAAGGTATGTTTGCCAATCTTATATGTTAAGTTAGGATTATTCTTTCCCAGATGGAGAACGTAGCATTTCGAGAGATTTAAAGGCAGGAGCCAAAGTTCTGACCACTTTCTGATCAGCTTGAGGTCTTCTTTAAGCACATATGAGTTCATGGCAGTGTTATAGACTTTAGTATCATCTGCATAGATGGAACACATAGAAGAAAGTCGGGTGGGAAGGTCGTTTGTATAAAGAAAAAAAAGTATTGGCCCTAGCACACATCCTTGTGGAACTCCACTAGTAACACGATGGCTAGAAGAATAGGCGTCTCCAACACGGACGGAGAAAGATCTATCTAACAAAAAAGCTTCAATCCATAACAACAAGTTTCCCCTGATTCCGAGATGTTCAAGCTTGTGCAGGATCCTTTTATGCGGAACTCGATGGAAAGCTCTGTAAAAATCCAGATAAACCACGTCGACCGGTTCATTTGCGTCTAAAGATCTGGTCCAATTGTCGATGCAGTGTAACATTTTGCAAAGTTATTTGAAAAATGTCTTAAAACTCCATTAACAGATTTTTTAAAAACTAATAATGTATTATTAGATAATTAATTACAGTGCAGTGCATACTTCTTTGCCAGTAGGCATGGGAAGTAAAAGCCAGTAAACATCTTTCATCTTTTTTGCTTTCTACCCACAGGCGAAGGAAGTATTGTGATCGCACGAAATTTCGAGTAGCATCTGCCATTTCAAGAAACCACCTAACTCATGTTTTTCAACATCCTTTTGTTGCTTAAAGATATCACATCATACAAAATTGAAACATGTGACATGCTAATGTTAATGTTTGAATGTAGTTTTTAATAATAAGCAATAAAAATATAACTAGTACAGATTCTTAGATTTTTTATTATTATTGTAGATAAATTGGACAGGCTATTCGACATTTATCTTTCAAAACTTAAACACTATATTAACCCTAAGGAATTGATCTAAAACTCGTTTATTTGTAAACGACAATTATGACTGATTCCTGAACAGTTCAAATTTTGTGACTTACGATGTTTCAGAAATGACTGACTCATTTTTTTCAATATTTCACAACGCCTATATCACAGCGTATTTAATATAGATATCGCAACTTCCCGAAAGTTACATTGAATCTTTAGAATAATTTATATCACTTTCAGAGTTGGACTCTGAGTTACTCGTTATCATCAGCAGCCCAAGCAAAAGTAAGCTGCCTAATAAGATAGATGTGGATTACACCACAAAAATCTATATCCTTAAAAGTACGTCAATATTCCGACAGCCCTGGTAAATTTCTGGAACATTTCGGGTAAGAGAAACCAAAGATAGATTCAATAAAGAAAAAGAACAAAGTTACTTAGTGCGAAACTTTGAATTTTTTAGAGAAAGTAGTTTGGTGTGATGTGAAATAATCGCTTTCATTCAGATTGCAGGTTTTTCGTCTCCGACTTTTTATGTGTAGATTTTGCTAAAAGTTTTCCAGCTGCAAAGTGGAAAAGGGCAAAAACGAACAGATATTTAAAGGGTATACTCAGAAAACTCACGTTATTTGTTTTTGGCAAACTTTTGGGGAGCTGCGAATAACTGATAGTTTCATTACGAGCACAGTGACAAAGTTTTGATAGAAAAGTTGTGCTTTTGAATATGGGACTCGCTCATATAAGATATATGATATGTACAGCAAAATGTCTATCATACAGGGCGGTTTCACAAATAGTAGCAATCTGTCCAGGGCAGGAAGTTCGTCCAGTGACAGCACAGGATATTTCTATAAACATGGGTCCTAACATGCCCCTTGACAGACACACAGGCTGTTAAAGTTATAACTTGAAATTAAACAAAAATATATATTATATTTACAAACAAAAATTTGGGAAGGAGGTTGTTTCTGCACTTCTCATGAAGCACTGTCATCAGTTTATAAATGACTATTTTAGGATTAAGTTACTAACAGGTATACTAAATGTCGAGTATTGGAAAATGTGCGGAAGAATATGTGTATGAAATAAGATTAATAGCTACATAAGTAATACTATCGGGACTAGAAGTGTATAAATATACTGACGCCAAAAAATGGAGGTATACCCTTCGTTACTTCCTCTAACTTTCCCCTCTTTCTTACTTTTCTACCACTCAGAAAAAAATCTCATACGACAAAAAAAATATTGGACGATATTTTCTTCTTCCGTTCCTCGTCCATAGCTCCGCCGCCATTGTATAAAATAATGTCCATGATGGACTAACGCAGAAGCTGGATCAAGTAGAATTTGTTCGTGAATTATTCCATGTCAAATATTCCCATGAGAATCCCCTACAGGGTCAAACGCAATAATCGAATTCTTTACCTGGTCTCAGATCTTGAAGGCGGACCACATGTTTTCTCTGTGAAAGTGAATATGTTTACATTTATATCATTCCAAGGTGACTCTTTCTACGGGATTTCCCATATTGGATAGAAATTCCTCAATAAATGCTTAAGTCGCTAAAAGTTAAACTGTCTTAATAATAATAATATTCCTTTATTCAACGAATCATCAAGCGATGACGTGGAATGCGTCATGAGAAAAATAAATAAAAACTGGTACAATGAACAATCATCAAAAAAACACTTACGGGACGACACTACGATAGAAAGATACGAACACGTGTATATTAGTTTCTAAAATAATAGAGAAACTCGTCAATACTGTACACGTGATGAAATTTATTGTTAATGATATTGTGATATTGTCTCTGTTACGAGTATTGTATTTACACATATCCGAAGGTCTAATAAATTTGTTTTTTATCGTACCATTTACAAGATGCGTTGCATTATTGAGGGCTAAGCCTACATACTTGACGCCATTTCGGGGGCTAACTTGACCAGACCATTACGTGCCAGCATCAACCAGTAAGGCAACGTTTTATGACGACTAATCCGCGAGGCATCATATTGCCAGTGCGGTGGACAGCACATCTCTCCTTGCCGGCGGACAATTCTTGCGTTGGAAATATTTCTATCGTTCTACCCGTAAACCGAATATACGGAAAAATTCCTGGGGTTAGAACCATATAAATGCCAAGCAATTGGGATATATCCGCCCCACCGCCTGTCATTCTCCCATCACCAATTTCTTACTTCTCAAAAGAGTTTTAAAAATACTCAGGAGGCTCTGAAACGTGTAAAACGAGGTTCTAGAGATTTTGTTTTTCCAGATTTTTACTTGTAGTTTCGCCGCCACTAGGCCGATTTTGAAAAATAATAAAGCTTCCTTGTCCTTGGGATAGGAGTGACCTTGAGTGAAAATGTAATCCAAATCGGAGCAGTACTTTCTAATTTATAGACGGGCCAAGGACAGACCGACACAGAGATCGCCAGACAGACGGAAATAAGTGAGAGTTTTTCGCAATCTACATGTCCTATAACATCCAAAAAACATATCTCATTTTAGAAATTTTACGAACTTAGAATTCTAATTAAAGTAAGAGGGATATTTTGACCCCTAACGAATATGAAAGAATAATATTCCAAATAATGTTGGCTTTCACTTCCCTCGCGACTAGCGAGGATGTATTGTGGTCGCGCAACTTTCAAAAATCGGATACTGTATTTTTTAGATTTTTTGTGACATGCACCCTACCGGAAACCGTGTTGCCCAATGGCCCCGCTATATCTTGGAAAGCACCGGGCTGATTTTTACGAAATTACGTAATAACAACTTGC